GAGGTAGGCTGCTCAGGAGGTTGTGGCCTGCCTTCTCTGCATCTGTCAGCTAGACAAAAGGCATGGAACATTGGACTTCACCCTCTTTACTTTTATGCTTTCTTGTGAAAGGGCAAAAAGCAGACTGCAGATGAACCCAAGAGATGACTATGGAATCCTTTTCCTTTCTGTCATCTCTGGAGAAAGACATTTTATCCCAGCATCCCACAATCTCTCTTACTACAGACCATTACCTGAATACCTGCAGCCCCTCTACTTCCAAAGGCATCCTTGCAGTGTGTTCACTGTTATTACTTTTGCCAACAGACATGAGACTGAGAATGATATTTCTAAAAATAAAATGGTTCCACAATTGCACTACTTGTCCCAGAATCATACTACCTCCTGAAACAGAGCTGGAACACCATTCATAGCAACTCCCTTATTGCCAGGAGATTTGTTTTCAATGCACCTGACAAGTCACATGCGATTCATCCTCAAAGCCTACTTGTCAGGGGAATAAATACCAGTGTCAGAACTTCCTGAGAAATCTAGTAATGGAAAAGCCTTTAAGGATGAACAAATTAAATTCTGTTCTAACACCGGCAACAGAAGGAAAGCAAAGTGAAGAGGTGCAGAAGAGCAAGTCCAGGTCCAATTTTGGATAAGGCTGAAGATGAGTTACACTGTTAATGCAAAACAGATACACAAAGCTTTTTCAGACAGCAGATGCCCAGGAAAAGGAGGCTAGTCTGGGAATGTCTTGCAGCCAGGAGAGGTCCCTCTGCTTCTGACAATTAGATAATTTTTCATGAAAACATCAATCCCTAGAAGTTCATTGTAGAATCATCTTTGCACCTACTTTTGCCACCTGTGTCCTGGGGTCATTTCTCCAGGCGTCCTATCCCAGGGCTAACATGTGCGCACCCTAACTTCCTCATCTTGTTTTCACCTCTGCATTTCTCTCTAGTGCTGTTAGACCAAACAGATACGCTCTAGATGACCACTCAATACTTCAGACTGGAGGCTTCTCCAAGCCAACATGTTAGAGGAGCTCTAGAAATCTAACAGTGTAATGGTTTCCATTAAATACTGAGTCTTGCCCTGTAGGGATGGAGCCTAGAAATTCATAAATTATGTAAGCTAAGGGCTTTGCTGATGACTGATAAAATCAGATTAGCTGCTTTGAGATAAGGATGAATTTGAAACAGAATTTCCTCCTTTGAAGAGACAGCGACAAATCTCTTTGATAGGTCTGCATGTCAAGGGGTTTTGTTTTTGTTTTTGTTTTTAGAAAATTTAACAGAATCCTTTGTTAGGCAAAGTAAATGAGACTGGCTTAGGTTATGAACTAGTTTTTTTTTTTTTTTCCAAAAAATGTTTATTTGTGTTATATTATTAAAGCCATACCCACCCATACAAATTTTGTTTTTAAAAGCAGGAAAAAATTCACCCATAATTCTAACAGTCCAATAAAACCTGACATTTAGAGCATCTCCTTTCAGGCATGTTGTTGTATGAGTATGCATATTTCTACAGAATTGAAGTCACATAATATGTAGATACACATATACATACATATATATGAATATTTATATATTCATTAAAACCTGATTCTTAATGGCTATATAATACTTCATATTCTGTTTCAATTTTTGATTACTGCTTTAGGATACTTATTCCACCAAAGGGTACAAATAGTTTTAAGTAGCTTAATATACATTATCAGATTTTTTCCATAAATTTTTATTCAATTAGTAATCCTGCCGGTAATATATGGAATTTTAATTTTCTTTTTTGGGCTGGGCATTGTATTAGTCTGTTTTCACACTGCTGACAAAGACATACCCAAGACTGAGTAATTTATAAAGAAAAAGAGGTTTAATGGACTCACAGTTCCATGTGGCTGGGGAGGCCTCACAATCACGGTGGAAGGCAAAAGGCACATCTTACATGGCAGCAGGCAAGAGAGAAAATTAGGACCAAGCAAAAGGGTTTCCCCTTGTAAAACCATCAGATCTCGTGAGACTTACTACCACCTGAACAGTATGGGGGAAACCACCTCCATGATTCAATTATCTTCCACTGGGTCCCTCCTGCAACATGTGGGAATTATGGGAGCTACAATTCAAGATGAGATTTGGGTAGGGACACAGCCAAACCATATCAGACATTAAAAACTTGTAAGGAATTCACTTAATATATGTCAGTATTTTCCAAAATATTTACTAATTTGTTAGGTGAAAACAGGGTCTCATTGCTCTTTGAGTTGACTCATGACATTTATTGGTTTTTAGGCTTTGAAATTACTTTTTTGTTTTTTAAATTGAAGTAATGCATAAAGAGTTTTGCTCTACTTTTCCCTGGTTGTATAATTTCCTAATTCACTACGTGAGTAATTATGACTGGTATAACAAAGAGTGTGTGTTTTGAAGTAAAAATATGTTTCTTGTTGTAACCAGAATAATTCCCTAGTCACATACAATCTAGTACTAGTGCAGTTTCTCATTGAACAAACAGGACAGGCGGCAAGGTTAATAGTTTTAAAACATATATCCACCGTTAGTCTTCTCTCTTAGAGAACACTGTTTAAAAGATCCAATTTGTAATCCATGCTATTACTTTTTAAAATTCCTTTGCTTTATTTATGTATTTTTCAATAATCACTGCTTAAAAGCCTCTTACGTATTCTCCCCTCTCTTCATCACACACTGCATCCAACATCTCACACCACTTAGTGCTTGCCTTGTGTGCCACAGCCCCTTTCCTCCCAGACCTCCTGTCTTACATTCTTCTATCCCTACTTCAAATTTGGAATCACTAAAGTCTAGAATCAGGTTACCAAAGAATGCACTCTGGCTGGTAAAATCATCAGACCCCCACGTGCACATTGATATATCTTTTCACACAATGGCTTTTTGAACCCTACTAGCTGTCAATATACAAATGAGGCTTTGCAGCTCACCATCATCATTTGCACAACATATTCCTGACTCAAACTGAGTTAGCACTTGTAGATGCCCACAAGAGTAAACAGTTAAAAAGTAATTATTTAGTGCCCACCATGTTCAAGGTATTGTGCTACATGCTCAAGAAGCAAGAATAAGTTGCAAAGATGAAGATTATCTGGTTCCTGCTTTCTAAGTACGTTCAGTTGGAAATAAGAAAAACATAAACATGGGGAGAAAAACCCTACCTGTCAAAAGAAAAGGTAATAATGATGAAATTAAAGAGAAATACGTTTGAAAAATAATAGCCACTAGACTAGTGCAACCAAGACTGCAACACATATTCTCCCATCCTCTTTTTTCAAACAAGATACATCCATCCCAAATTGAAAGATATGGCAGTAAGGTCTCCAGCTTCCAACTTTTCAATGTAGTCTGGGTCCAGAGAAGGTGGCCTTAAATTTTGGATTCACCAAATGTGGTTTTGCTGATCATGAATAGAGTTGCTACATGGTCTACAATGGAAGAAGCACTCATTTCATCTGTTGTTTATTGAGTGTGGCAGGCACTGTGCCATCCACTGGGGATAGCTGTGCACAAAACAGAGATGGTCCTTGCTTTCCAGCAGTTTCCAGGGCATGTATTTTGTGAACTGGCCTCAATATTAGCTCTGGTTGACCTTGTTTTCCCTTTGCCTAATCTTTCTTCCTCACTTCTAAGTCTTTAGCTTTTTCTGTGTTGTATGTTTCTTTGTAAGATGCCATAAATTCCCAACACAAAACTGAATATAAACAACAAATGAAAGTTTCCAGTTAGTCATGTGCCAGCATTTCTTGCCTTGTACTTGATCAGCTACTTGAGGACAAGGGCTCTGTCTCCTTCATTAGAACATAGTATTTATCTTTATGTTTGTCTTCATACTCAGCACTGGATGTGGTATAGTGCTCAATAAATATTTGTAGATATAATTTGTCCCACTGTAATAGTTTCTTTTTTTTTTTTTTGAGATGGAATCTTACTCTGTCTCCAGGCTGGGGTGCAGTGGTGAGATCTTGGCTCACTGCAACCTCTGCCTCCTGAGTTCAAGCAATTCTCTTGCCTCAGCCTCTCAAGAAACAGGGAATACAGGTGCGTGACACCATGCCCAGCTAATTTTTGTATTTTTAGTAGAGACAGGGTCTCATCATATTGGCCAGGATGGTCTCGATCTCTTGACCTCGTGATCCACCCACCTCAGTCTACCAAAGTGCTGGGATTACAGGCATGAGCCACTGTGCCCAACTGATGGGTACTGCCCTTGATTAAAAAAATAGTTCTGATCGAGACCATCCTTGCTAATACAGTGAAACCCCTTCTCTACTAAAAATACAAAAATTTAGCCAGGCGTAGTAGTGGTTGTCTGTAGTCCCAGCTACTCGGGAGGCTGAGGCAGGAGAATGGCGTGAACCTGGGACGCGGAGCTTGCAGTGAGCCGAGATTGCGCCACTGCACTCCAGTCTGGGCGACAGAGCGAGATTCCGTCTCAAAAAAAAAAAAAAAAAAAAGTTCTGTAATCAGGCAAGGGGTGATGAACTAGCCTAAGTAAAGTATTTGCACAGGAAGTATTGGGTTTTTACAAATAAGTTGGATTATGAATAGATAAAAGCCACCTAAAACTGATAACTTGACTTTCCAGGAAAAAAACAGTTGCTCAATAGTTCGTTATAATCACTGAGAACCAAGATAAAAATTGTCTCACTGAGAGGTACTTTTGTTACAGACTCTCACTGAAGCTCAGAATCGGATGAAAAATAGGAGTGTTGTAGAGGTAAACTGAATAATTCTGTCTTGCCCAGTTTCCATTTGACACTCAAAGAGAAAAAAATTAGGAATAAAAAGGTTTGCTTTTTCTTTGGAAATGATCCTTCTCTGGTCTGAGTTAGCAGGCAACACTGCTAACTAATGAAGCAATGTGGAGTGGTCAACAATCAAAGATAATGTCTATAAGACTCCTCCTTTGGGTCTGGCCCCTGATGGGTACTTTGTGATGTAATTACTGACAGTAATAGGGTGGTAGATGACCCAGGACGTGATCACCATGGCATCCATCTAGTGAGCGTGAGTGGGCATTTCTCCTGTCTGTGAGGGAGACAGAAGAATGTTGGGGAGGCACAAATGAACAAACACACCAAAGAAGAATTCTGGCTCCAGAAACTGGGGAGAAGCTCATGGAGAAGGCCTTGGAGGTTGAGTGAGTCAGACAGCCAGGCAGAGACAGAAGGATGGGCATTAGTGCAGGAGTGGGAAGCCGTGAGTACCAAGGCCTGGTGATGGAAAATGTGCTTAGCTTTTGGTTAGGCAGGTTGTATGGCTGAACCTTTGAGGTGATGTTGAAAGACCAAAGTATCAATGTATTTTGAGACATATGTGTGACTGAATTGCATGCTCTGGTTCCTCACAGATGTTTAGAGCCCCATACAGCCAGATCCAGGCCAGGGTGCGTATCTCATGCATTTCTTGTGGGCCCTGGGGGGAATCACACGGAAGTATGCTCTTTCCCCTGTCTTCCCACCTCCCACCCCTGCCTCCCCCCATCTAAGCTAGGACAGTTTCTACACACCTCCTGGGAATGGGAGAACTAACATTGTTATCTCATTCATGTGGACTAGTGGTTCTTAAGATATAGTTGCTGAAATCCTAAGGTTCCTTTGAAAACGCCTCATGGCTCCTCTGAAATACAGTGTAAAATAATCAAAGTGGGGAGGGAGTGGGAGCAAACACCTATCCCCCATGTTAAAGACAGCAGGTCAGCATTAGTCTGTTTTATATATTAGTCCTTTGCATAATGTTTTCTCTGGGAAAAAAAAAAAAAAAGGATTCTATGCCACCAAAACAAACAACAATAAAACATTTTTATATCTGAAAATTTTTGAAAACCACAGCAAACTTGTGGGGTTGAGGGGAGGGAAGAGGGAAGAGAAGAGACAGGAGAGGTGAGTGTAAAAAGGAGAGATGTGAAAGGCTAGGTATCGATATCAATTGCCAGAATGATTGCATTTATTAAACAATAGGAATTGATTTAAATTTGCTTAGGCAGAGGAGGAAAGTTCCAAATCTACAGCTAAATGTAACTTGGAATTTTAAGACTGTCACCTTCTGAAAGAAATGAAAGAATCTACTGCATGGAAATATGGGAGAGAGAAGAGGCATTTCTCTTGGCTTGAGCAAGCTATAAATAGGCAAACTTCAATAATAATAAATCTATAATTTATTAAGATAATTATTATTTTAATCCATATTTCTTTCAAATAAGGAAACAAGTCTTAAAAAGTTAAGTAACATTCTACAAATCTCACAGTTGGTAATAATAATAGGTGTAATTAATAAACTTACAGATGGCTGATAGAGATCATGTAACATGTTTCCAACTGCTCCAAGTCTACTTTCAAGGGCAAACACTGGCTATGGGACCCAAGATCGCTTGGTTATATTGGAAAATTCCACAAGAAGAACTTCATTCATCCACCACAGCAACTGAAATCTTTGGATCTTTTGTTTTATGACTCTTATCTCCTGTCTCCTTTCCCCAATGGACTACGATATAGTTTTTAAAGCAGTGAGATGGATGAGATATGCCAAGCTTTTACGTGCAAAAAAATGTGGCTAATGGGGTTGTAATTACATCTTAATTATTATCAAAAATTTCTCTTTATGCCAATCACCCTCAAAGCTTCAAATAAATATATTAAAACTTTTATCTTAAAAAAAGGTTTCTATTTGTAATCAAATATTCTATTCCATATAGTTCAGAGCCAATATCTATTTAGTTCTTTTTTTTTTTTTTTACCCCTAATCTCTTAGTCTCAGCTAACTTATTTTTTAAATGGACATAATCAGGCCTGCTTCAAAGAGTGGTGCAGCAATATTAATGTACATGTCTTTCTCCTCTACCTGATTATAAAGTTCCCAAATGGAGCAGTTGTCTCATTGAGTTAATAAATTATTTCACTGGATTGAAGTTGTTGTTTTACAACTCTAAAGGTAAAGTGTAGAGGTAAACTGAATAATTCTATCTTGCCCAGTTTCCATTTGACACCCAAAGAGAAAAAATTAGGAATAAAAAGGTTTGCTTTTTCTTTGGAAATGATCCTTCCCTGGTCTGACTTAGCAGGGTTAGGCTCTACGGTTGGCTCCCCAGGGTTTAAGGTCACAGCAGTTTCGTAGCTGAGCACTGCTGGGGCACACAGCTCTGATTATGGTAAGGAGCTGTGGCCAACAGGAAGAAAGATGAAACAATGACATAAAAGGGAAGGAGGAAGGGAAGCAGGAAAGAGGCATAAACACACAAGAACGTACATGGACAAACAGAGCAAAGGAGCAAATGATGACTGTCAATGGCAAGGTCCTTTCTCATCTCAATTGTTCTTGTGCTGTTATCACCATGGAGGTTTCTCTGCCCTCAGCATCCTCCAACCTCCTCTTAGGATCTGTGGGTACCTCTTCTCCATCTTCTCCTGCTGTCCTAGGCTGAGCTGAATTCAGCTTCTGTGCATTCTGCACTTTATATGCTTCCTCCTCCTTCTGATCTGTATCTGCAAATTCCTGCCACATGGAGGAAGCCCGGTCAGTGCCTGCTCAAAGGTTCTGCACCTCCCGCAGATCCAGGGTGGAACCTGAGGAGAATATACCTCCTGGGAGTGATCTTGCTTCATCTAAGTTCTATGCAACTGACACACAGTAAACTGTTTGAAATAAGTCTTGGTGACATCTTTATTATTGTTCAGAATAGCTACAGGTGAATGTTAAAAGCCTTCTTTTTGCTAGCTGCACTGTGAAGTGGTTTAGTCTGAACAGAATTGAAGCACACATCTCAGGCATGGTTGTGGAGAGTGCTGAGTCATTTTAATGAAAGTCACCTTCTAGCTCCAAAGGCCCTTGTCCACCTGGTCTGCTAGTCCGGGAATTCTCTGCAAGTTGGCAAGAGCAAAACCTCAATGGCCTTGAGCTGTAGTCCAGTAGAATCCCTGTGTGGTAATTGCATGTCAAAAGGCAGCACGGAAGGCAGAGAGAGGGGGCGCTGAGCACTGTTTATTGGTTGTTTGAAGTTGAAACACTTTTCATACAAGTCCTACAGACCTCTCTCCGTCTGCCTTACTGACAGATCACCCAGGGTAGGACCCAATCAGATCACTGTCTTCATTACTGCATCCTTCTCAAGCACGTTACTTGTGACGATGTCCAAGGCTTGGCAATATTTAACCAGACAGCAGTATTAGGGCGGGGCCATAAAGAACTTGGCTCAAGCCTCCCTTGCATATGGGGGAGGGGGGCTGCCAATCTGCAACCACAGTGATATGGATACATTTAGAAGGCCCACGGGTTATCCAACCACATAGAGAATTGGGTCTAAAGGGACTCTGAGCTGTTAATTGTCAAGTTCCCTTTCAGAGGAAAACTTTTAAGAATAATTTCCCTTGGGTTGCTCTTTAAAGTAGAAAGTCTGTCTAGAACAGAATTTCTCAACCTTTACATTATTGATGTTTAGGGCCAGATAATGCTTTGTAGTGGGAGGAGCGGGGCATTGACCTGGGCATTGTCCTATAAGATATTTAGCAGCTTCCCTGGCCTTCACCCTTTAGGTGCCAGTAGCATCCCCACTCCCCAGTGGTGACAACCAAAAATGTTTCCAGACATCCCCAAATATTCCATGGGGAGCAAAATTGCCACCAGTTGAGAACTACTAGTCGAGAAAATAGCAATGCTTATGTCCAGCTATGAAATGAAACACAGAGCTTAAACTTCACACCAAATAGTTTGAGCTACCCTGATTCCCAGTCTACTTGTGCTTTTATAAGACTTCAAACCGGTTACACCTATTCCTAAGTCTAATGCCAGATCACCAAATCATTCTAAGCTATCCAAGGTCATTGGATCCAACAGACTCAATGTCTCCCTAGGGATAATGTTGGCATATATGAGAATAGCTTTTGCAGGCTCATCCACTAAATCAACAAATATTTATCAAACAATATGTCAGGTTGTGGGGTTTTGAAAAGATCTACCTGAAACTTCTAAGGAGATAAAGCCCCTTTCCCATCTAAAAGGAAAAAAAACCCCACAACAATACATTTTCTGTAACTGCCAAGAAATTAGCTCTTCTGCACTGTTTCTGGACAATTTTGTCACCTTTTATCCTTGGACTCAAATCCTCCCCCTGCCTGTTCAGGGGTTCACTCTCTCATCAACTTGATATCTTGCAGTTATCGTAATTGATAGCCTTTCCCCAGATAGCTGGGTCCAGAAAGCCAAAAACAAGGGTAAAACCATTGATAGAATGCCTGCCATCTGCCAGATACTCTTCCAAGCATTTCACACACACTAACAACACCTCTGATCAAAAGTTAGCATTAGACAAGCTCATAGACAAAGAAACTGTAAACACAATCATGAGAAATAGGAGAAAAAAAATACGTGCAAAATTAGATCATGACCTGAGTTGGTAGAGGAAGGATATTAAATAGGGAGGTCAACAAATAAATTATTTTCCATATATGCCTACAATTTAGGGTTATAGTAGGACTTTGGGAACTCAGGGGAAGGGTAGGAGGTGGAGAGGGATAAAAGACTACAAATTGGGTTCAGTGTTTACTGCTTGGGTGATGGGTACACCAAAATCTCACAAATCACCACTAAAGAAATTACTCATGTAACCAAATATCACCTGCTCTCCAAAAACCTATGGAGATAAAAAAATTTTAAAAATATATTTTAATAATCTGGAAAGTGACCTTTTGCCCTTAAAAGTTACTCCTTCCTCCATCCTTGTTACACTAGCACTTTAGGTATTAGTCTTCTATGCCCTTTACACATGTGCCTTACCTCATCATGAGCTTTCTCTGGCTTTTCCTCCCCATCCTTCAAGAGCAGGGCTCCTGGTTTATCCATCTCTGCGGATCCCCAGTGGGTGTTCAGTACTCTGCACACCACTGACTCTTGGTACGAGAGCTGCACTCCATTTGATGGGTAAGTGAAGTCCCCTCTTTTAGTCCTATTCATTATTGTGACTTCCCCCTGCTGATGTTGGACTCTCAGCCCAGCTACCATCCTAAGTGGGGCTACTTCCTCAGTCACTCTCTTCAAATTGGCCCTGGAGGAGAATAAACTGGAATATATAGGCTTGATTCCTAGTTCCAGGACCATATTACACCCAACAATTGTTTCATCGTAACATGCTTCTCAAGCAGAGTCCACGTTTGTGTGACTGGGAGTCAGAGGGTCCTCAAGAGATCCTCATAGAAGGATGATAAATAAAGTGACAGACAGAAGACAGAATGCTCACACCTGGCCCAGGCCCTGGTCCGGTTAATATCCTGCCTTGTCTTTCACACTATGCTTTCTACTCCCAATAGAGACATGAAACAGCAGATGAGGGAAAATGCCTTGGGTCAAATAAAACAGCATGGATAAAAGGCCTTATGTGCGTAGACCCACTCTTCTCTGGGCCTTGGCTGCAAATCCAGATTCTAGCACCTGCGTCTTCCCAAGGCAAAAGGAAGTTGTGAAGGTCAAGAATAAACTCAAGAGTTTTCACCTTAAGAGGCACTTGCTACTTAGGGTATTATTGTCTTACCCATAGTCAACAGTTATTTTTCAATAGGTGCTATTTGTGGGACATAGTGCTAGGCAGGCACGGGGGGACACACAGGGTTAGAAAGACCTTGCCCTTGTCCTTGAGGGGCATATGGCAATGCTACTTAAAGGGGGCTTCATGGACCATAGCCTGGTTGCATATTGTTTGAGATCCATCTTCAATGACTAAGAAGAGAAATTGAGAGTAAGCATTTAGGAACTCAAATAGTAGGTAATGTTATATCTGTTGAATCTAATAACAAAAATTCAGGTTTGCATTGTATGTCTTATTTTTACTTTACTTTCTGCAAATTCAATGCTTAGTGTACTTCATAAAGACAAGGGTCTACAACAGATTGGAAAATTTAAAAACCAACTTGTCCTTAACCGTAGACAATTGGAACAGCACTAGTCTAATGTACACATAACTAAATAAAAGGAAGGTAAATATAAACGTCTTAAAAAGCTAAACTAGTTCAATGTTATAGAGAGGGAGAAAGATTGTAAGAAAGGTGTGTGCAAAGGTACAGGATTTCAGGAAGTTGTGAAGCTCCCCCTTCCCAAGCTGAGTAAAATTAAACCAAAAGAAGCAAAAACAATAAAGAAATTATTCACACTAATAGCAGAAATGGTCTCAATGGTATGGCATACATATCCAGATGTATCATTTGGGTCTGAAACTATTGGGACCAAATGTAGTGAAGATTCTAAAAATCAGAACAGGGTTTCCTTCTGCAAGAAATGATAAATAATAAACTTATCATTGAAAATAAGGAAATTCTCAAAAATACCCACTGATGTCTCACACTAGACAGGGATTGGGACTGGAGCTATGGGAAGGTCCCCGAGTAAGTTCCTCAATGTGCCTTCTGGAGCCACCTTTCTGCATCCTGTAAACAATATTCTGAGGCTACAGAGGTGGAACTATAGGAGGAGATAAACTTTGTAATAGTTTAGCAGGTGGTAGAAACCAAGTAAGTAATAATACCCTTGCAGCAAGTGTTTCACCTGAAGCCTGGCAGCGAAAGAGGAGGTTTAAAGAGAAAAATGTCTGTAACCACACCAAATCAAATGCTTAGTAGATACAGCGTTTCTCTAAAGCTCAAATTCCATTAAAGAGCCTGCTTATGCTACAGACGGAAAAAATTTAAATCTGGGGGACACCTACCCTTTGAGATGGAATCCACTCTGTCTTCACTGAGGTGGATTCTGTTGCAGGAGTGGCAGTAAAACCAGAGATGAATCAAAGAGTGCCAGTTACCAATGACAGAGACTGCTTTTCCCTGGGAAGCTGAGAGACAATCAACATTCCTGGATCTCATGTTATAAGAGAAGAATTCACACATCTGAAGTGAACATCCTTTTTCTGGCAAATAAGAAGACCAGTTACTTGCCTTTTTAAAAATGAACAATAAAAAAATAAAAGGCAAAGGAGGAAAGCAAAAGAAGACAAATTGGCATGTTTCTGATATCAACATTTTGTCTCCTAGTCAACCCTCCAAGCCCCACTAAAGGAAAAGAATATAGCGTAAACAGTGAGAAAGGGTGGGCTGGGCAGAAGAGGGAAAGAAAGAGGTGGAGATCATTTCCTTTAATTTTAATTTTGAAAATGACAACTAAATTCACAAATAAATTCTAAATCACATGGATGAAATAAATGGCCAAAATGTGGTAAGAAAACATGTTATGATGAATAAGGATTTAGCAGTACTTAGAAAAAACTGAGGAGAAAAGAAATGCTTTTATAGGACGTAACACTGCATCAAAGCAAGAAAGCAAGAAGCACAACTATTGCCACAAAAAAAAGCACATTTGAAAAATGCAGGAACCATAACTGTATTAGTCCGTTTTCATGCTGCTGATAAAGACATACCCAAGACTGGATAATTTATAAAGAAAAAGGTTTAATGGGCTCATAGTTCCACGTGGCTGGGGAGGCCTCAGAATCATGGCAGAAGGCAAAGGAGGAACAAAGTCACATCTTAGGTGGCAGCAGGCAAGAGAGCATGTGCAGGGGGGACTACCTTTTATAAAACCATCAGATCTCCTGAGACTTATTCACTATCACAAGAACAGCACGGGAAAGACCCACGCCCATGAGTCAATTACCTGGCACCAGGCCCCTCCCACAACATGGAGGAATTATGGGAGCTACAATTTGAGATTTGGGTGGGGACACAGCCAAACCATATCAATAGCATATGACTAGAAATAAATTTACAAATTGTAAATAAGAATCACAGATATGAAAGGAAATACAATATATATACACATATGCATATTCTGTTTACTATGTATTGTAATACTTTAATATATTGACCTGAGTCTACACTCTGAAAAGTCTCATAGGTCCTGGAAAAATGAATGCACATCAACCAATGCTGAGAAAAAAAATTGAGTAAAATTACTGTACTTTAATAATAAAGAATTCCATAAGTGCATATATACAGTAGATGAGTCACTTCAGAAAAGAGAGCAGGTACATTTCTCATGGAATTAGATACCAGAAGATAATGATGGCTGCAGGCTAAAGGCATGGGCTGTAGGGATGTGCACTCCTGGCTTGGCCGCTCACTTGCTATGTGACCTTGCTCTAGTATCAGTTACCTGAACTTTCTGGTTTGCAGTATCCTCATGTATAAGCAAGGATGACTCTATGCTAACAATAACCACTGCATACTTTTCTAACTCCAGAGAATCCCGAAATGGTAACACAAAAGACCATCTATCAAAAGAGAGCCAAAAAATTACCACCAAGGCATCAAAATATACAAAGGAAAACTTGCTGGAAATATAAGAAGAAACACTAAGAAACATAACGGGAGGGGTGACTTTAATATACCTCTCAAGCCTCTGTCAGGTGAAACAGAAAACAAGTCAGTAAGGCAGAGTGGAAATAGTATAATCAGTAAAATTGCCCTACTAGGTATATATCTACTTTATGTTCTACAACAAAGAACACATATTTGTGAACTCAAAAAACATTTTTAACAAGTTCAAAATTACTTCTAAAAAATACCAAAAAGCAAAAATGGTACAGGCCACATTTTTAATCATATGCAACAAAAGACAAAATATAAAAAAGAACAAACACTACAAGCAACAAACCTCCTGACCAAGAAATGAAAATATTTCTTACAAGCCTTTACAACATCTCTAATGTGAAAGAGAACATCAAAACCACAAATTCAAAACATATAAAAAACAAAATGAGAACATTTTACCCCAAATTTAATAGACTATAGCAAAACTAATAAGGTAAAAATTCGTCCTCACACATATTTAATTAATAAAATGAAAGTGTAGAAATAGTAAGATGAGCAGCCCCTCAGAAACAGAGAAAAAAGCCTGTAATCTCAGCACTTTGGGAGGCCAAGGCGGGCGGATCACGAGGTCAGGAGATGGAGACCATCCTGGCCAACGTGGTGAAACTCCATCTCTACTAAAAAAAAAAAAAAACATTACCCATGCATGGTAGTGCACACCTGTAGTCCCAGCTACTCGGGAGGCTGAGGCAGGGGAATTGCTCGAACCCAGGAGGCGGTGACTACAGTGAGCCTAGATCATGCCACTGCACACTCCAGCTTGGGTGACAGAGTGAGACTCTGTCTTAAAAAAAAAAAAAGAAAAAAAAAGAGAAAGAGAGAGAAAACATTATGAAAATAAGAGAGTGGAAAGGAGGAATTAATAAAGGTAAAATAGAAATTGATATAGTAGAAAACAGAAAAAAATATAGAGACATGCCAACTCCAATAACTGATCATTTGTAAGCTCAATAAAACAGATAAACCAGTAGCTGGTTTAATCAATGACCAAAGGAGACACAGCTACATGCTCAAAATTAAGAAAGTGAAACAGGAACTGAACACAAATTTAGACTAACAAAAACCAATAAGTATGTGAAAAAATGTTCAAGGTCACCAATAATTATATTAATATAAACAAAACCAACATTGAGATAATATTGTTAGCCAGGAGATTGGCAAAGATATGGCAGTATCTAAATCAGAGAAGGGTGTGGGGCAGTGAGATCTCTTTTGAACCCTTGATCAGAGTGAAAATCCCTAGATACTTTCTGGAGGACAGTTTGGCAGTATTTATCAAATTTTTGAATGTGTGTGGGCTTTGCCCAAATAACTCTACTCTTAAGGATATGTTCTAAAAAGAAAAACACACACTTACATGGGCAGTACAAACAGCAAAGCCCAATATTCAATGTTCAATAAAATTCATACCACTTTAAAATGATGTAGCAGATTTACATTTACTGACTTGAAAAGATACCTACAATATGTTAACCATAAAATGAAGTATGTGAAATGTGAAATAGTAAATTCAAAAACAAATATTTGAGTACTTACTGAGTGCCAGGCACTCACTGAGGCATTGTGGGA